CTTGGCCACATAATCGATTATGTTGTATATATATACACAGCATAATCGATTATGCTATGTATATATACAGCATAATCGATTATGCTGTGTATATATACACAGCATAATCGATTATGTTATATGTATAACATATAACATAATCGATTGTTATATGTTATACATATAACATAATCGTATATATATATAAAATATTAATATTTAATATATATATTATATATTAAATATTAATATTTTATATATATATACGATTATGTTATATGTATAACATATAACAATCGATTATGTTATATGTTATACATAACATAATCGATTATGTTATATGTTATACATATAACATAATCGATTATGCCGTGTATATATACACAGCATAATCGATTATGCTGATTATGCTGTGTATATATATACAGCATAATCGATTATGTGGCCAAGCATAATCGATTATGCAAGACTACATAATCGATTATGGCCTTGCATAATCGATTATGTAACCTTGCATAATCGATTATGTTTCCTTTGTATATGCTTCCTCTACTGCATGGCACACTACGCATGCATGCGAAGGGGCATTTTCGGGTTTTTATAAATCCTACGTGGCTTTCTTCTGCTTTCTTCGCTTTTGTGCGAGGACGAGAATCACGCTTCTCCCCCCTTTTCTTCGCCTTTTCGTCGTCACAAATCACCGGAAACGAACAACAAGTTTCTTCGCCTTTCTTTGCTCGTGAACAGTAAATCCATGGAAACAAACACTACCTAAGTGTTTTCAGAAGAACTATAACATATAATAAAAGAATGTATATCAATCAATAACATTTAATAAAAGAAGCATTCTAATGATACACGTGTCAATAAAAGAATAATTGATAAAATTAATTAATATAAAAAATAATTATGAGTAAAGAATTAATATGAAAAATAATTAATACAAAAATAAATAATAAAAAACTAATTAATACAAAAAATAATTAACACTGAAATAATTAATACAATGTGAGACCCCTGCCTTCTTTTCCCATTTTACTCTCACTCACTTGGCTGAATCACTTTCTCCTCCAACTCTCTTCCTCATTTCTTTCTTCACTCTCCTCACTCTTGCCATTGGAACCTTAGGTGTTGCTGCTGAGTAGGTGAATCAGACTTCTTCTTCTCCTCCGTAGCAACTCAAGCTTTCGTCGTTTGTTCAAGCTCTTCTCTGTTCTTCCCCGTTCTAGATCGTCTCTTTCCCGGAAGCTCGGATTCTTGCACCGAGATAAGGGAAGTTAGGTTTTGTTGCGTTTTGGCTGGAAATGAGTCTAGGAACTCATTTAATTGTTGATGATTGATGATTTGAGCTGAGATTGTTGAAATTGAGTTGTCGGGGTTTCGGGGTTCTTGAAGAAAATTGGGGATTTTTCTTGATTTGTTGTTGCATGTGTAAAAAGGTGGTGTTTTTGAGTTTTTGGTTGAAAATGTAGTGTTTTGGATCAGGGACGGATGTAGGCGGTGAAGAGTGGGGGCACTTGCCCCCACTATCATTATATATATATTCCAAAAAACTATATTTTTAAAAATAAAAGTTATATTTTTATAAAATAAACATATATTTAAATTATTGTATGTATAAAATATAAATTTAAAAAAGTTGTTCATTTATTTGATATTTATTAAACTTTTAAAGGAGATTAGTTCTCATATGTAATAAATAATACTCCTTAATAATGAAATAATTCTTTAAAAAGTTTAATTTTTGATAAAATAAAATTTGCAATATATATGTTTACCTTTTGTGTTTTCTATTTATATATACATTGATTAAAAAAAAAAGGTAAAGATCATACGATTGTATATGTTCATTAAAAAAAATTAAAATAGAAAAAATTGAAAGATTTATGTTCTATTTAGAATTTTTATTATAAAATACAATTTAAAATAAATTATTATCTAAAAAATTATATTAGATATTAAAAACATGTTTATATCATAAATAAATTAAACTTGATTTTTATACAATTTAACATATTTAATTTTATGTTTTTATTAGTATTAAATTATTATAAAGTATATTTTTAGGATTGTAGTTCTAACTAAACATTTTAAAAAAGTTTATGATAGATAAATAAGTCATATTTAGAACATGTATTTTTTTTTAAAAAAATTAGGTTCAAATCTACTAAATTATAATATAACATAGTGTGTCCTAGTTTATTTTCATCCTTAATTGTAATCTTAGAAAACTTGTAAAAAATAATTATAATTATATATTTATACTTTTAAAAGTTATATGCAAAATTTTTAATACTATAAATATATAAATAAGTATTGCCCCCACTATCTAAAATTTA